TTAACTTATTGAAGTCCAGATATTTGCATTGTTAAATATTTCTTTGAACCCTAGGAAAACTGTCTTGTATGCATGCTTGTGTGACAAGATAACCCTTATCTTGGTCTCCATTGTCTATGACCTTGATGATTAGATACATGTAGGTCAGTGGGTCATGAATTGACCTCTTGTGACATGTCTGTGCTTCCAAACTCAAACAAGGTCTAGGTTAACGGCAAAGCTCGGATCTACTTTTGGCGAGTAAAAAAAAAATTAAAAGAATTTTCTGTCTTAAAAAAACAACAACACCTTATATCACACTGGCAATGACAAATAAGCAAGTTTGCTCATGAACTTCCAGATATAACACCAAAACAAAGTTGTTGTAAGTTTTTGGATTATATTTTGATGCCAGTTGTGTGCAGTCACATGTGCCAATATTCATGCAGTGCTTTTCACTTGTTATGATATTAAGTAATATTGAGTCAGTTTAATTCCAATCTGACAATGCCCCAAAATCTCACAATACGTAATTAATCAATTTGTAAGACTCTGTAGTTTATCTTTCCTCAGTAACTTGTGGGCAACTTTCTTTTACAATGCCTTTGCATGACGAGTACTCAACTTTATATTTGAAAGGAAGTAACCTGCTGAGCGGAACCTCCCATGTTTATACCGGTGGAATGGAATGGGTCTCTGTCTCAACCCATGTACCAGTCATTGTATCCTCTCCCTTACACACAAATAAATAGTTTCTTGTTACAATGTCAGATAGAGCAACCCTGACATATATAGGGATATCCTGCAGGAAAGAGTAATGCTGTCCAAGGAACAAAGAAACAAACAGATTCTGATGGGAAGAATTGAGTTAAATGACTTCAATAGGCCAGTTTCGTAATGTATTCAGAGACCTTTAAATCGCATTACGTAATCGGAGGGTCGGACAAGCAAAGAACTCGCGATGCGTAGCAGACTACACTTTGCGTGCATACCATACATGACTGTGTTCGCTAGGTGTGATTGTATCGTTTGTTTTCGCTATTTTGAGAGAGAGAGAGAGAAGACAAAGGAGGCAGTTTCAAACTTGAATAATAAATATCTTTGAGATGTGATTTTGTTCTTCATACATTTGATCTTTAAAATCGCTGAGTCTTAGGCAAGAATAATAGAAAAGCATTGCTGGTACAGAACTAGCGATTCACATCTTGCAGCTAAACTTTTTCGGCTAAGTCCCCGGTACAGGCAGCGCACGATACCCCCTCAAAAAGAAGAAAAACAAGGTCGATGATACAAGCGATATTGGCTTGAAAGCCAGTGATGAAACAGAAAGCGAAGCACCAAAATATAAGTTAGCTAGCCGAAATCGGTAATTTCCATTCAATTTTGCATTTACCTTAGCTTGAATCTGAGTACAAATTTGGACGTAGAAATGAAAGAAGTGATGAACTATTTTCCACTCGTTCGCACACACAGTCACCTCTGCTTGCAGAAGCGTGCGCGCGTACCACGTGTTCGTGTTCGTGTAGGCGCGATTCACATTTTCAAAATGAAAACAATTTTACGGATTAAAAAATGTTTGTGAAACGCCTCGATACGGACTATTTCAAGGCGGACGAGAAACGGCTAACGAGAAGCAAGCACTGACCGCAGAATCAATATTATTAACAAAACCAACGAGAAATAATGACAATAAAGATAATAATATAATATAATATAGGTCTTTGTTAATAAAATGATATTTAGAAAATAATATCGTCCGATGACAGAGAGCTAAAATAAAAATGATGAATAATGATAAACAAATAATTTTGAACGGAAAAAATGAAGAAAAACAATGAACAAGGAAAAAGAATGATAGAGCAATGGAAAAAGGGAATAATAAAAGTAATATTAAAAAACCTTATGATGGCAAGGAAGAAGAACCAGGATGATGAATAATTTTATTGTTTAGAATAAGATTAGGAATTAAGTTTGATTTTCATAAAATAAAAGTTAATAGTATTAGACTACAATTATGCAGGACCTTCGTTATTCAACTTCAAGAAGCAATTATTATTATTTAAAAAAACACATTAAAAATAAAATTGTTATTACATTTTCTATTAGATCTAGTCTAGACTTCTACTTTTTATTTGTTTATTATTTATATATTTTTTCTTTTTGTTCAAGTTGGTATGTTCTGTCTTTTTGCGTCGGTTTGGCCTCTATAATCTAGTCACAAGTCGCTATCATGAGCTGCCGAGAGCTAACTAGAGGGGGGATTGTACTCTAGCTTCTCCAGGCCACATAATCTATGGCCATCGGGAAATATCAATCGAAAGTCTTTAAAACTCTTAAAAGCCTTCAGTTTTCGACGATCATAAATGCATGGTCCGCCATATTCTCTACTAGATAATTGAATACGTCATAGGTCCCAAAGTCAGGAATATCGTCAAACTTAAGGGAGGTATGTAACTAGTTCACTTAACGAAAATCCTGCCCGTTGTAATTTCCCCATACAGTCACGTCTACCGAGTGACACGGACCCCGTAGGTCAGGGGCTACGGGCAGGCTAGTCCGCTACTGCGGACGCTAATTTAACGAGTCTTTTCTCGGGTGTATACCGTAGTCGAAACTCCTCTTTTTCTTAGAAAATATTGCAGCTGCCTGAAACTCAGCTTGATGAATGGCAAGTTGGAAGACATTTCCGGCCAAAACAGAAGTTCATATATATACACGCAGTTTTGATAGAAAGATATGAATGCAATTTAACGGCAAGAACCGACAGTCTAATACACAATGCACAGATTCAAAATGGTGATTTGACAAAGTTTGTCGGGCTTGGTTACAGTAACCGCGCATTACGTAACCGCCGAAACTGGCCTATTGCATATAGGGGGGGGGGGGGGGGGGCTCATATGCCATCCCAGCAAAGTAGGACAAATTGCCTTACTATAATGAGCAATTGAGATACTGCTAAATACAAATTTGCTGTATGTGTCACCCTTTTGCTTGTTAGCGATTTTTTCTTCTTCAGTGATGCTTCTCTGTCAGAGGCTCTGGATACAACCTGTGATAAGGTGTTATTTGATCTTTTAAATAAATATGGTACAAACAATCAGCATAATTGGTTATATTGCAATTCTTTACTTTTATTGTTTTCTTCAGCCGGCAGATCGAGTAGTCTTTGTTGTGCAGTGAAATAAAATGTTTAGATTTATTGCTCCCTTCAATTTATCTTTTATTTTATTATACTTACAGTTTAAAAAAAAAAAAAAGAGTACACACAGTCGGTAAGCACAATATGCAATGGAATTGAATAGCTTTATTGCTCTCTTTAGCTTATTTGTCAAGGCATATATGTCAGTAATGACCTTCAGAAGTCATTGAACACCGGGTCTGAATGGTTAGATGTAGAGTCTTAATCGGTTGGTATCAGGTGGTAACGATCTGTCGGTATCATTTTTAGATCTGGGACATCTGGACCACATCTCATGGGAAAGCCCTCATTTAAAGTAGATTGCAGGCACGTACCTTAATCAATCGGTTGGTCACTGTACTAGAGCTTCTAGCATGGTCAAGCTACAGCGATGGAGTGGCCAGAAGTGGGGTGCATGACCCCCATAATCTCCATTGAATGGTGAAAAAAAAGGTGAAACGAAAGAAGAGAAATACAGGGAGATGGGAAAGGAAATGTAAAAAAAAGGGGTGATATTTCTGATATAAAAATAGCTTTGTAAGTACATTTTTGTTGTGGCAACATAGATTGAGATTTGTAGACTTGAAGTTTATTTAACTGAACTGAACTGTCAATTTAAGGTAATAATGTCCGACAAAAAGCCTAATTATATTGTTTTGTCATCTGTCATAATTATTTAAAACCCTAAAACAGAAAACAAACATATACAATTTAAACAAAAATCCAGGCCAATAAAAGTATGATATGTCTCCTTATTGTGAATTAAGTGCTTTCATTCAGCAAAGCATTTTCTCTCAGCTTTGAGAGATATATTATTGTGATTATTGATTTCCCTGGGGAATGAAATCAATCCAATATTTATGACCTATACGGTCGGGCAATTGACAACCAATCCTGCGGATAGTCGATTGAATGAACAGGACGCTTTAATTAAATATACATTGATATGATGGGATCAACTTCGTTTGTGTAATTAGTCCTATAATCTCATTAATTTGGATAGCATGATCCATCGATGTACAATATATGCAAGGTCAATAGCTTTGAAGTACAAGTGCGTTGCTACTCTTGGTTTTTATCCGGATTTCATCTTTTAGTACGATACACGTGTACATATATGATCTTAAGTCAGTGGTGTAGCTATACTCAGGGAGCAGAGAGTGGGGGGGGGGGGGGTGTATGGCAGACAAAAATAAAGGAAAAGAACAAAAGCAGAGTGATGGTCCTTATGAGGAACAGTATGAAAGGTTACTATAATGCATTGAAGTAGGATCTAAAGTCATTAGTGTCATTAGGGGGGGGGGGGGGAGAAAAACAAAATAAAGAACGAAAATTAGAAAAAAATGGGGAGCAGTATGAAAGATTACTAAGGAAGCACAAGTGCGTTGCTATACTTAGTTGGATCAGGAATTCCTCTCTTGAAACGACATGCCTGTAGTATGTATAGTCAGTGATGGGGGGGGGGGGGGCATTTAGAGAATGAAAGGGAGAGGATAATGGCTTGCCTTCATGTTCTGAACTATAAAAGGACAATAATGAAACACAAAGACATTGCTATACTTGCTTAGATCAGGATTCCCCTGTAGATAAGACATAGCGTCATGGTTCAGTGGTTCATTCACTTGCCTCTTAATCAAAGGGTGGAGGGTTCCAATCCTAGACTGGCACTTATATATAATTTGGTAAGACATTAATCAATTTGCTCAGTTTTGTGAATATCTATGGAGTGGCCTCCTGGCTGGAATGCTCCTCATGAAGCAATTAGTTTTAAAAAAAATTGAAATGTTTCTCTGAAGATCAATTTTTTTTTCTTCATTGCTAATCTTTGATTTTGTAGTACCATGATCATCTCTCTACATAATCAGAAAATCTGGTGAATAACCACTACTGAATAGCTTTCATCACTTTTGATTGCTTCATGTCGTATCCTGGTTGGAGTGAATGTGGTCATCATGTAGGAAGTTTATTTTGGATTAGAGACTGTCGTTTGTCCTTCATTGACCTGTTTTTCTGTTTTGTTTCTGGATGTTGCAACGGTTTCCTATCATTGTTTCATCACACGTGTTAAGACATTATGCAATCTTATCAACGAAAGAATGAGACAATTGGACTAGATCCTGATATGGGCATTGTGTTTAATACGCCTAATGCAGTCTGTGATTGGTTAATTTGCCTACCGGTAGATCAAACGCCTCGTTGCATATCTAATAGATATATAGTCAGATCAATTGAAGGATTGGTCTCATTCCACTGGGTGATATTGTGTTTGTATATCTTTGGTTTGAAGCAAGAAAGTCTCCATAATTTTACACCGATTTAAATCTCTTTTGGCTCCAAATGGACAATATCATGTCATGTGAACTGTGAGGAAAGAGTTTACAGTGGTTATAGTCATTTCTGCAGTAAGGAGAGTGCTAGTCATTGATTCTAATGCGTATATCAGTCCTATGTACTATCCTTTTTGCGATATACATACAACTATGATTAGCTTAACATGTTGTTTTAATCGACTTAATCAGATGATCATCATGCCCGATTCAGTAATTGACAAATTACCTTGTTAGATTTTCCAATTACTGAGTATCAGCTGAATATCATTAGCTGTGTAGGGTTTGTTTGGTTGGTGATGTGGTTGGTCGGTCGATCGGTCGGAACCGCTTGGTTGATATGACTGGTGTACCAGTGGGTAAGAGCTTCTTATATTTGACATCTTGAGTGTAATCTTGTACACACTTCTCAGTAAAAGTGCAATTGCCTTTGATAAGGGTGCTAAGGAAGAACCCTGCCGCTCACCGCTCGTTTCTATTCCTCAGTGGAGTAACCGTTGAAGTGGACGCAAGGTGGTTGATGAACAATTGATCAGCATCAGAGACCTCTAGAGATGAAGGCCACTTGAAGGGATATAGTCGGACATATAGCGTGACTTGTGCCATTTAACTAAGACACGTCCGTCGAAAATACAGCATGACATGGAATGCTCGGCGCTGATTTTATCTGGGAGAAAATTTACGCAAGCAAATTTAACATTGCCTCAGCTGGGATGAAACCTTGAGTTTTGTGTTGAATCGAGAAAAGGAATAACTCAGCGATTGTTTGATCAGCAAACGTGACATAGTGATGATATTTTTTCTCCATCTTGTGAAGTGTGGATGCAGTTGCCATGGAAATGGATTATGATAACAACAGTATGGATGGGCAGAGCCCGTCTGACGATAGGTCAGAAATTGAACTGGTGTTTGAGAGATGGGTGAGTAGCTAGCGACCTTCAACAGTCTCACATTCTATCACATTATCTATATTTTCAAGGTTTAACAGTTCCCTCTTTTGTTAATGGAATTGTTTTCTTACCTATGATTTATATACAATGTCCATTATGCAGTTCCTTTTCAACAGCCATTTTTACTATTCTTCACTTATTTCCTAAGTACAGATACACAAAATAGTAACTAATTTTTCTTTTTCAATTTCTTTCAATATATATACTCTTTATTCTTGTTGTATGTGATTCTGTAATTTTTGTTGATCACTGTTCTATTCTAATCATGTTTTGATTGTATAGATAGTTGTTATGTTAATTGATTTTTGATGAAAACACAGAAGAAAAAAATTTAACTTTGGAAACCATATTAGCAACTCTTCCCATCTGGGCAATGTACATCTGCCAATTTCCTACCATGTAATTGGCTAATTAAAGAAGTGAATTGTCAGTGGAGAGATGATAATTACCAGTTATTGATTGTCTAAATTGTTTTATTTGATCGCTTTGTCTAGACAGAAGACATACTAAATCATTAATTGACATCTTCATCTGTCTCCTATTCACTCAATTAGAATCGTGAGGATAATATGTATACATGGAACCAGAAGAATGTTATCTTGTATACTTTAACAGAGTTAACACCCTTCTGGCGCTGACCTGATGATATATTGAGCGTCCATTGATATATTCCACTTGATATATAGTTTGCTTAGAGCCAGAAGGGCATTAATTCTTGGTAATATTATACCAGGTGAAGCCCTTTTGCCTCTCACAGATGATGTAACGACTAATGTACCATGCTTTATTAGAGAACATAACAATCATAAATGAGCCTCCCTAATGTATGTTACATTATAATTAGGACATTTCAACCATACTAATCTGTTTGACTTTAGTGAAGAAGAAGGCTACCAGAGTTAAAACTAGTTCCCACTATTTTCAGTCTATTAACTCTGAGTGATTCTAAACCCAAGTATTCCTTCAGCATTTATATGGCTACTTGTTGTATCCCACAATATTGGATCTGGAATTCATGTTTTTGTTTAAACCTGGAAGGAAAGAATGATCTTTTCCATGGCCTCATGTTGTTTTTATAAATAATTGAGTATGTTTATTCTTTTTTGTGTGTGGTAGGAAGCTAAAGTTTATAGTGTACACATTGATGTAGGTATTTATTGAGAGATGCAGCAGTTTTAGGTTTAAAAAATATGTCCAAGATTTGATTTGACAGATGACCATTAGAATGATATTCAAATGAGCTACATTCCAATGAAATGTATTTCTTATGTATTGTAATCTGAAACATTTACATACCTGCACACCCTTACAAATAATCCAGATTATTCTGATTTTCTGGATTTTTAGGACCTAAAAATGTGGAATATTCAGATTTTTCAAAATATTTTTGTTTTTGTGCTTAAGCCAAATTCAGCTTGTTTTATCATGTGCCGTGATTTGAGAGTTCACGTATTGCATGCATTGAATGGCTGTATGATCGAGCAGCGAATTTGTATTCGCTTTTTGGTACAGATTTACCACGTATTGCCAGTTACACTGCTGCTGCAAGTGCGATTTCTTATATTCAAAGGCATACTGTGCTAAAATTTCCTAATTCTTATTTTCAAATGTTGGCAGGTATGCATTTAGCCGTCAAATCACACCCTCATGCATCTTCTGAGTGTAATAATGGAAAGGAATGGATCTTTGTGAAGCATTTTGACTTGTTGTGAGGGCAAGATGAATTAAGACATGATTATTGAGCCATTCACGCTTGAGCGATCACCGCATCATCCCTTCTCCAAAAATACCTGATGCTCTCTCCGGTCGCCTCCGAGCGGGAAGCGCTAGCTCGCTCGCTCCTCCAGATCGACCGTCTTTTGTCGGGTCGGGAGGAGAGGGGGGATCGATTGGAGTCATTCCGTTCGTAGAGGAGGATCCACTCATCTGGAAATACTTGGAGGGTAATTCTAGAGGTGATGGAAATAAATTAAACCTTTTCTCTCTCTCTCTCTCTCTAGATACGCAGGCTGATCTGTGTGGAAGTGAACATTGTGAATGTGAAAGAAGTGAATGTTTAGAGCCTGTGTCTGTTTGCCTTTATCTGAGATTGTTCTAAACAGTAATCATAGTGGCCAATTTTCCTGAATGGGATATTAATTCTGATGATGGCAAAATAAAAACATTAAAAATGAGTGGAATAATGCAAGTAAAACAGATCTGTCTAAACAGTCTAATTAAAATGTGTACTATCAAGTAGGATGATCCCCTGCCAAAAAAAAAATCAAGAAAAAGAATGGAGTATTGGTTCTCTGACACTTATCTTGATGCACCTCCTCTTGATTCTTTACTATATGGTATGTATTTCAACAAATATCTCGCTGTTACCTTAAAAACTGTCGGGCTGTTTGTGGGTTATTGCAAATGATTTCCTTGTGAAGTGCAAAAGTCTTCTACAACTTGAAATTTAAATAATTTCTGTGCCTATAAAATGTTGCCAGGTGTGTCTAGTTTGTAATTTTGTGTTTGTTATTGAAAGATCTAGAAATGGAAAAAGTGCATTGCCAACTGTAAGTGAGACCAAATGTTTAATTCACATGTGTTCAGATTACCAGCATTCATTGTATAGCTATATGATTGTTCCTTTAATATTTCTAGTCCAAGTGTTAAGGCCCGGTCACACAGAGGGGACGCATGGGGGACGCACGGCCGGCGCATGGAAAATTTGCAATTTTGGCCAGTGCGTTGTCGTGCGCCCAACTTTTGTCGAAGCTATACAGCTAGCTGACACCAAATGCATAGCGCGCTGGACGCATACAGGGCGTATACAGGGCGCACACAGGGCGCACACAGAGCGCACACAGAGCGCACATGAAAACAACTTCCACGAATGCACAGCGTGTTGCTAGCGCGCTGGACGAATGGTCCACGCATGCACCGCGTTCTACGACGCACGGCCAGCGCATTGGAAATCGGAAAAGAACGTGTGCCTAACTTTTGTCATAATTTTGGAAAAGCTAGCGAGCTGACACAAAATGCACGGCGTGTAGCTAGCGCGCTGTGCGTATACAGGGCGTGTGCTCCGCGTTTGTCTGGCGCTGGTCTAGCGCGCTCCACGCATGTCTGGCGCTGGTCTAGCGCGCTCCGGCGCATGTCTGGCGTGCCTTTGGCGTGTATATTCATGCGTCGAGCTCGGCGCACGTTTTTGAGCATGCTCAAAAAATCCCGACGCACACAGCGAATGACGACGCATGCATAGCGCTGGTCCAGCGTTGGTCCAGCGCGCTCGACGAACGAGTAACGAATGATGACGCACGCCTAGCGAACGACAACGCACTGGCCAAAATTGCAAATTTCCAATGCGCTGGCCGTGCGTTCCCCATGCGTCCTCCCTGTGTGACCGGGCCTTTAAACATGTATAAAGAAACATCGTACAACGTGTAGAGAAATGCCTCTCAGAGCAGCGTTTTGATTGAAAACTTGATGAAAAACAGCATCCCCCTCTAGTCTGGACATCGTATTGCACGACAATCTATAAGTGGGCGGGTCTTATCGGAAGTGGGCGGGTCTTATCGGGAGCAGGCACTGATGATTGGCCAGCTGTCATGTCACCTGACCTCTGCTGAATTCATTTTCTTCCTTATGTTTTCTAGTATACCCTCCATTACTTTGCAATGTTTCATTGATCTTGATACAGCATTTGGTATAAATGACCTATAGTGTGAACATGCTTTATGTTTGTGATGGACCGGATTCCTATCCTGTTTCAGGATAATAACACAATCCTTGAAACGTAACCTACTTGTATCGAACCACTTACATCACCTGATCCGCCCATGACACACCCCCTCCACATCTATTGTTCTATTGTTTCATACCTTTGCAATTATCTTATCCCAATATGTTGATGTAGTCTATGTATGGTATACTTCACATGGCAGCTTGGCTAAACCCAGGGTCATTTCATTTGGACTCTGTACCCTTTAGTTTAGCCCTACATTGCATTATTATCAGAAATCAATGTTGTCACCTTTTTTTTTAGTCCTTTGAAATATTCTCACAAAAACAGCCCCTGGGAATAGTCTTGGAATCACAATTTTCACTAGTTCTAGTTTTTCAATGACTTTAAGAACAATTCATCAAAATCAGAGAGGACATTTTTCACTCTTTGTTAAAGCCCCTCTGAAGTGTTGGGAGCCCCCAAAATTTGATTGCAAAATTTGATGTCAAAATTTCTCTTAAATTGTATCATAATGTGTCTTTCTGCAATGATCTTCATAACAAATCTGTTTGAAGTTAAATATTGATGAAAGAATACAACATTTAGGTTTTCTGCATACAACACAAAACCTAAATTATGTATTCTTTCATCAATATTTGTCTGCCCTTATGACTCTCTGCAGACAATATTTGTTGTCGTTGCGAGCCAGAAAGCCATTATCTCTGTATTAAACGTTTTCTTCCCATGAGTTAATACTCTTCTGGTTCTAGGCCCAGCAGACAATATTGCTTGCATGGAGCCATAAATGCATTTATTCTGTATATTAGTACCGTCTGCCTTTCAGCTGATCTGTATAACATGATATGTGGCACTATATACTCCTGCTCTTACTAGTTACTACTCTCAGACTCAGTATTGTGTGCTTTTGAGAACCAAAATGATATAAGTCTAGATGTAAAATTATAGGACTTACAAGCCCTTTTCCCTCTTAGCAGGTGAATAATTAGGCCTAGGTCAAGATGTCTCGTGGAGTGTTAGAAATGTCTTGTATATAATGTTACACTGTAGCTAATAATGTACAGGGATGAGCTTACCCAGATTGTTGAAGTGGGAGTATCAATGGCATCATCAAACCATTACCAGTATATCATTACAGCTATATTATATGTAGGTCACTTTGAGCAATAATCAGAGCCCCTGTAAGTGATCTTGTAGATCAGGCCTTCTCAACTGGCGGCGCGCGCGCCACTCGTGGCGCTTGCGGTCAGTC